CAGGGGATGTTGTGAAGGCCAAAAGCTATAACTCGGTTCAAAAAAGAACTAGATAAGTTCATGGAGGATAGGTCCATCAATGGCTGTTAACCAAGATGGTCAGGGATGCAACCCCATGCTCTGGGTGTCTCTAGCCTCTGACTGCCAGAAGCTGGGAGTGGATGATGGGATGGATCACTCTGATTGTTCTGTTCATTCCCTCTGAAGCATCTGGCATTGGCCACTGTTGAAAGACAGGATACTGGGCTAGATGGACCATTGATATAACCCAGCGGGGTTGTTTTTATGTGCTTACGTGTCCCCCAGAAATCCTAGTTATACACATGGGAGCACAGATCCAGTGAGGACACAGTAACTCAAGCAGGGCTTTGCAGTGTGGCTGCTCTCACCTGGGTGCCGAGTTAATGTGCAGTGAAGATATATGATAGAGCAGTGGTTCTCAACCTATTTACCATTGTGGGCTGCATATGCAGCTTTCTGTGTGCTGTGGACTGCATCCACACAATACATATTCTACTGTTATGGCTGTGAGGATGTCACATGGGCTGCAGCTGTGTGCTGATTGGGTTGAGGGTTGAGAACTACTGCCATAGAGACACTTATCCACCAGAACACTCTTTTCCCCTTTCTAACTTTAGATTGAAGAGGAGTTATGGGAAGAAGAATTTATTGAGCGTTGTTTCCAGGAAATGCTGGAAGAGGAGGAAGAACATGAGTGGTTTATTCCCGCTCGAGACCTTCCACAAACAATGGATCAAATCCAGGATCAGTTTAATGACCTCGTTATCAGTGACAGCTCATCACTGGAGGATCTGGTGGTATGTTTCCTCTCAGCTTGTTCTTAGATAATTTTGTATTTGAAATTTTTAAAAAAAATTGCCTTCCAAAAGACTCTATGTGCCTTGACAGGTCACTAAAATGGCTAATAAAAACAACAAACAGCAACAGCCAGTTATATTTAACAGCAATGGCTTAATTCAACAGCTCTTGTTGCAGACAAAGTCTGATGTACATCCAGACATCATGTTAACTATAACAGAATCTGGCATGTTGGAAATAGAGCCTTAGGGCTGAAATAATACAGTCCAGATCTAGCTTGAGATGTATTGGTAGAACATTTTGAAAGAGATTACCTAAATTTGTATTGACTGTAGCCAATAGCATTAATTATTGATTTGTCAGCCCAAACCTTTAAAATAGGTGGAGATGATCTTTTTACTTAGGAGTGATTATCTTTGCCAAGAAACCTAAACCTTCTGCAAAAACCTAGTGTAAATCTTGCTAACTCTCCTTTACAAGTACTTGGAAGTATTTTAATGTCTAGGTTCCTAGAATAGGAACTGTTCTTAAATTTACAAAGATGTTGAAATGAACTAAAAGTACCCAAACAAGTTTCAGGTAGTTCCTGTTAGCCCAGAAGAGTTAACTTGCAAAAGCAACTAATATAAAATGTTATAACTGACACTCCCAAAAGCAAGGGAACTACATGGCAGTGCTGAGACATACCACGCTGACACTTATTACAGCTGCCTAATGTCCCTGATATCCAGTGCACACCTTCTTGCAGCTGCCCTTCAGTGCAATGGCTGTTGACCCATAATAGAGGTACACAGGGTACATTCAGTAATGTTGGACTTCCCTGGAAATCTGACAGTAGAGAGAGATTTGTTGCTAGCCTGACTCTAATGCTAGTGATCAACCACACACTAACTGTATTGCTGAAATGTTCTTGTGCACTTGAAATTTCTTGTTAAAGATCGATACTTCACAATAAGTCTTGAAAAAATAAAATTAACTGTATGTAACTTCTAGACCAATGCATCTTTCAGCCCAGTGACTCAAGATAGCAAAACATACAACTGGCCTAAAATATAAAGTGGTAACAAAGGTGCTGGCGACAAAACTAATGTGTAAACCAATTAAGAGTTTAAATAAATTCATGCTTCCAGCTATCCCAGTTTCCGTTCTCTTCCTTTGTTAGGCAATACATGGAAATTGTGTAAAATGAAGTTTCTCTTGGTGCTGCTTATTGCCCACATGGAAGTTATTACATTCTTGAGTTCTCTGGAAATACTACAGGGTGGCTAATTATGAAATAAGCAGGCGTATGTACTCAAGTATGGGTGTTTAGCACATTAGTATTATATTTCAACATAACTCTTCTTTGAAGGAAAAGACAGTCCGTCAATGGCTTAAAACTATTTAACTTTCTGACGTCAAATTTTTGTTTGCTTATGTTGCATAACCGAATGTGTCTACAAACAAACGTATAAGGTTTAAGACCATGTGACACTTGTCCAGAGTCAGTTTGAGTGAATTAAAGCTCTGGTGCTTTGGGTGTTTTAGGGAGACTACAGGCTTTAACTTGCAGGTTTTCAGGGAAGGGGCTGTCTCCTTAGTACAGTTTGTACTAGTTTGTTTGTACAGTGCCTAACACAATGGGACGCTGATTTAATTGAAGCCTCTAGGTGCTGCTGTTTTTTTTTTTTGTAAGACAATAGTGAATTAATAGCCCTGCTCTTAGCATGTAGTGATGAGCAGGTGAAGGGTTCTAAACCTCTTTGCACTGGATTTGGTGTTTTCAAGAACTCATGTTAAATTGTCTGTTACTTTAAACTTGTAAACTATGGCTATGAACAATGCTTTCTTTGGTCAGGAAAAGTGAGATATAAGTAATATCGTGATTTGGTTGTCTCTTTCTCCCCAGGTCAAGAGTAATCTGAATCCAAACGCAAAGGAGTTTGTTCCTGGGGTGAAGTACTAAATATATGAGTAGACTGGGCCCTCTTTTGGTGGATGTAGCACAATTTCCACACTGTGAAGCCAGTATTAGAAGATTTAATTGTAAAAGCTCTCTTCTCGTCACTGTGTTACACTTATGCATTGCCAAAGTTTTGTTAGTCTTGCATGCTTAATAAAAGTGCTGAGACTGTTATTAAGTAAAAAGCTGTCAAAAGTTTAATGAAAACATAATTGGACCCTGGCTTTCTGTGAAGGAGACAGTGAGGTAAGAAGCACCAGTCAAGTTGAGACAAAGTACCAAATTTATGAAAACCTCTTGCAGACTCTGTCTTTTTAACAGGATTTAACTAAGGATGGTCTGTTACTAAAACATGTCAACTGGTGTTAATTTGCACCTGATAATGCCTTAACTTAAAAATAAAAGCAAGGTTATCGGATCATTATGCAAATTAGCTAACTTTCCGTTTCAGTATTTTTACTAATGTTAATTTTTTTCCTTATAAAAAAAACTTTACTTCATGCTCCTCTTTTTGAGAAGTGTGAATGAACTATCATACCAGACTTTTACAGACCTGTACAGAGTCCTAGATCTCAGCTACTGAACTAACAAATAAGCAGTTGGAAGAAATTTCCTGTATTTACAGTATATCATGTTACAAATGTTTATTTCACTTCCTAATTACATTTAAGGAGATGTGAGTTTCATCACAATTTCTTCCAAGAACTTGGATACATAGCACACTGTCTATGTAACTTCTAGCATACAACCTTAATATAGCTGGATTTAACCAAGAAAACTTTAGCGTTAGTGATTTGAGTGGTGCTTTTCCCTTGCTTTGTTTAATCATCACTACACAATAGTCTACAGCACAACAACTTTTTTCTTTTAATAAAGCTAGAACAGTTTTGGCTTCTTAAACTTCATATTTGGGTAGGTTAAGCTGCCATACGTGTTCAGTGTGAATAGTGTTTAAGTTGAAAATATTGTAAAAAAATTATATTTTTTCAAAAATATTTAAAAAAATAAATAATAGTAGAAATGATTTGGTGATTGTCTCTTGAATATGCACCCTACTCAGACACACACATTTGGTAATGTGAGGAAATGAGGGGAATAATTCTACACTATCCCAGCAAGAATAATGCTTAAGGTTTTAATGAACGGTGCTCCTTATAACAAGCTAGTCCAAAGTAATGACTTGAAGTTGGTATCTGATCTACTTCTCCTTTCTTCATACTAGCATTTCCTTGACCATCTTCCCTTAGGTACATTTCTCACTGCTACTAATGGCAGTTCAACTCCATCATTGCGTGCAGCATTGCAAACCCTAGTGTAGACAGTGTCCATCTGATGGCACCATCTGAAGGACTGTGGCTAAAACTGAGCCTTTCAGAAGCTTTTATGGTACAATCTGAGTCCTGCCACACTTTGGGTGTCAAGGACAAATTGCACCTGAATGCAGCTGATAATGAAAAGCTATTGGAAGACACCGGAGAGGGACTTAAATCATCATTATGGGTATAGTGAGTAGCTTCAAAGTGTCAGCAGAATAGAAATGGATCCTAATTTTCACTCAGCTAGCTTTGTTTAATGGTGCACTTAATGCTGAACTAACTTTCTTTGAGATGAACCCAGATCCTTTCTATCCTTCTACTTGTATGTACTCTTGACAATGCCAGGCATTTTATTTTAGAAGCATTGTTTTCATTCAAATCTATTGGATTGCTTCCTGTTCTGAGTATAGGCATGTTGAGTAATTTATTCACACACTGGTATTTGGTAATCTCTAAGCACAGATCAGCAGCTTTAATATTTACTACATTTAGAATGAGAAATCACCACCTAGAGGAATCTCTGGAGATTAGGGGAAAAATAAGATGAATTTGACAATCTAGTATAAATCCACACTATTGGAGGCCATGCCCACTTTCAAGATATTTACAGATTCTACCAACCTAGGCCTGCTAACATCAAACTGCACCCACTGGCCTCTCCAACATTTGATGACAGCTGTTTCCATTTACTAGTCCTGTCCCCTCCTAAATCACCAAGGAGTTATTCATTCCCCTTTCTAATACACTTCTCGTCAGGTCTGTAGCTGACTTCTTAAGGAACACAATAAAAACCTTGATCTCATCGCTTACCTTCTTAAGTTTCCTCTTCAGAATAATGCTTAGAGCCTAATATCAGTATCAAATGTTAGGTGAACGTGAAATGTGTCAAGTAAAAAAAATGAAATGCCACACCACTAGCGTGTTTTTCCCCTGGAGCTGGGGAGTAGGGTGAATTTCACCCCAGAAGAGTGCTCCTACATTGCCAACACCAATTCCTCCTCTAGCCTTCATAGTCTTCGGAAGGGTCTCCAAACTCTCGGTGAGCCTAGACTTGATTAAATTCTGAGATGTAATGCTATGGAGGCATGTGGCTGCTAAATGCTCACTTGCATACACTATATGTAGGAGCCTACTAGTGGGTAGAGTAGTGATGCAACCAAGAATCTTTAAAATGACTTGGACAACAGAAAAGAGCTAACAAAGTATGTAGTTTGAGAAGTTTATTAATGATATTCAAAGTGGCAGTGGGTGTTCTCTGGGAGCGTTGCTAGTCAGTCACATAGAGGCCCTCCCCTTTTAGATCCTATCACTCATCAGCAAGGGAGCTCAGGCACACTTGCATATCCAGTCACAAGCTGCATTTTGGTATTAATGGCACTTCATCAAGATCCAGGGAGGGATCACCTTTGCATTAAACATACCCATATTCAGTCCAGTCAAGCTGCAGTGCTTGTGCATTCCAGTTCCTAGGGAGATGCGTTTACAGGTATGACTTGGTCATGGTTTCTTGCAAAAAATTCCCACTAGGCAATTCTGGAAAGTGACTGGGCACAAAGGCAATATTCAACTGATCTGTGTTTAGAGTCAATTTATATCAGGGACGCAACATTTACTTCTGTTAGCCCTGCAGAGCCAAGGCAGTTCAGAAAATGAGCTTGTCTATTCATCCTTGGGTATAATTAACATTTATTTAAGATCTCATTATACTCAATGTAACAGGCAATAGGAAAGATGGATCGGTGTAGCAGAGCTATCCAACATAAACTTTTCCAGGGTTACGTTGCGGGACTAGTGAGGCAAATATAAGGGGCAGTTCACTGTCAATAAAAACAGAGAGAAACAAGTGATTTGGAATATTAATGTATCAAATACATTATCCCAACAAAAAATGCTATAATGTCCATATTAAGTGTGCCATGGTGGCCATGCTGATCCAGATTAATCCCTGGTATAATTCTGCTGAAGTTTATGGAGTTACACCAGAAATGAATTTAGCCCAGAGTGTCTGGATAGCAGTTTATTACACAGGATGACCAGTTGAGCTGTGTAAAACTTGGGCTAGTTTTGCCTAGATTCATGAGCATTCCAGCGAATCTGAGCCAACTTTTGTACAAATCTTAAACCAATTTGGGGTGAGAGTTGGAAACTGCAAAAGTTGGTTAGAAGTCAGTCCAGCCACAACTCTGCTGTTTTGGCTGAGCTGCTTTGAGGTTTTGGGTTTGTTAGAATGACACACAGTAGCCAGATGTACAATACTGAAGGCTTGGGCTATCTCAAGAGTAAGCAGGCCACAGCTGTCACACATGCTTAGACCGAATGGACAGTACAGGGAAAGATGACTGACTCAAACTAGGGTGTGTTTCCCTTTGTAGACTCCATGGGGACATGAATCAAAACTATGGGGGAACCCCTATGAACTGATCCTCATGTTCTCCCCTCTTCCGTTTGACACAACTCTCCTGCCCTGGTCTTCCTTCAGTAACCTACGAACTAGAACTGTGGTACATCGTACCTAACTGGCACTGAACGACTTGCGCCTGTCACATTACAGGAGTCTTTCAGACTTTAGTACATATGAACAGGTTGTCTGTGTTTTCTTGAACACTTTCCATTGTGTCACAATTCCTTTTTGTTCTTGAATTAAATCCCTTGAAAACAGGGCATACTGGCACATACTTCAACCACTGTATCCTTTTTACCACGCTCATTCCAAATGGAAAATCGTAGGTTTTCAAATTTGCAGCTGTGGTTCTGTCTGCATGTGCTCCGGCCTTCCACTGAACCAGCCCACGCTCCTCCTGTGTCCCTGGGGAGAGTGAGAGATCCTGAGTGTTAGGACAGCAAAATAACTAAATAGCTTACTCATTCCAAGTAACGAGCCACTGGATGTAGTTCAAGTTCTGCACAAACACTTGTCTGGAGAAAGGATTGTTCCACAGCAGCTCAGACCATTGACTAGGCTGGTATCCTGCCTTCTGAAATGGCCAGGGCCTGATGCTTCCAAAAAGACAGAAAAATGCACCTGGCCAATTGTTCAATGCTCTACAAGGAGGTGAGGGGGAAAATATACCCCTACCTTTTATACCTGAAAGCATGAGATTGCATTACCTCACCATCAGTGGATGGGAGATGCAGTTAAAACGATCCTGAGTTCCCGTGAGAACTCTGCATGCAGGAAACAGGGCAGGATCAAGCTTGTAGTGCTACCTATCTCGCTAGAGTTTGTAAGATTATCCCACCCTTTGTAAAAACAAACAAACTCTGCCATGGTGTTTGACCCAGTGTTTTTCTGCAGCAGTGAGTTCCACAGGTTCAGTTTGTGCTACATAAAATATGTCCTCATACTTATAAACATGGTACTCTTTAACTTCACTGAGTGACCCTTAGTTGTCACAGAATGAGATGGGATATACAGGAAGGACTGATCAGTTTTACCCGTCATTATATTGAATTAATTACTCAATAGATTCCTCTCTAAAAGCTTTTCTTTTCCTATTATTTAGCACTTGGTGACTCCAATCAAGACTGGGCCCTATTGTGCTGGGCCAGTGATACTCAGACTGAGGCTCACGTCTAATGTGTCTCCTGCCTATGATATTAAAATACTGATTTAATTAATAACCGATCTATGTTATTAACCAGTCAGGATGCTTTTACTATGTTATTAACCAATTGTTAATACTTAAGAACATAAGAATTGCCATACTGGGTCAGACCAAAGGTCTATCCAGCCCAGTATCCTGTCTGCTGACAGTGGCCAATGCCAGGTGCCCCAGAGGAAGTGAACCTAACAGGTAGTGATCAAGTGATCTCTCTCCTCCCATCCATTTCCACCCTCTGACAAACCGAGGATAGGGACACCATTCCTTACCCATCCTGGCTCATAGCCATTAATGGACTTAACCTCCATGAATTTATCTAGTTCTCTTTTAAACCCTGTTATAGTTCTAGCCTTCACAACCTCCTCAGGCAAGGAGTTGACTGTGCGCTTTGTGTAGAAGAACTTCCTTTTATTTGTTTTAAACCTGATGCCCATTAATTTCATTTGGTGGCCCCTAGTTCTTATATTATGGGAACAAGTAAATAACTTTTCCTTATTCACTTTCTCCACACCACTCATGATTTTATATACCTCTATCATATCCCCCCTTAGTCTCCTCTTTTCCAAGCTGAAAAGTCCTAGCCTCTTTAATCTCTCATCATATGGGACCCGTTCCAAACCCCTAATCATTTTAGTCGCCCTTCTCTGAACCTTTTCTAATGCCAGTATATCTTTTTTGAGATGAGGAGACCACATCTGTACGCAGTGTTCAAGATGTGGGCGTGCCATGGATTTGTATAAGGGCAACAAGATATTCTCTGTCTTATTCTCTATCCCTTTTTTAATGATTCCTAACATCCTGGTTGCTTTTTTGACCGCCGCTGCACACTGCGTGGACGTCTTCAGAGAACTATCCACAATTACTCCAAGATCTCTTTCCTGATTAGTTGTAGCTAAATTAGCCCCCATCATATTGTATGTATAGTTGGGGTTATTTTTTCCATTGTGCATTACTTTACATTTATCCACATTAAATTTCATTTGCCATTTTGTTGCCCAATCACTTAGTTTTGTGAGATCTTTTTGAAGTTCTTCACAATCTGCTTTGGTCTTAACTATCTTGAGCAGTTTAGTATCGTCTGCAAACTTTGCCACCTCACTGTTTAC